CCAGCAGGCAGCCAGCAGAGCCAGGATCATGGTGACGGCGCCCTGCAGCACCCGCCAGTCCCGGCACAGCAGGGCCAGCCCTGGCAGCAGCAGCTCCCCAGCGATCCAGAAGAATCTGGCCACCATCGTCACCCCCAGTCGGTGGGGGGGCTCACACAGCTCCAGCCCTGGCAGAAGGTGAGGAGTGCACTGTGGGTGCCATTGACACAGGACATCCTGCACCCTGGAGAATCATCCCAGAGCATCCTGTATCCCAGTGCATCCTACACCATGCAGCATCCTGCATCCTGGAGCATCCTATACCCTGGAGCATTTTGCACCCCAAAGCATCCTGTATCCCAGAGCATCCTGCACCTCAGAGCATCCTCAATCCCCACACCCCTGTGGACCCTCCCAGTCACACTCACGGGCCACGTAGAGAGCGAGGAAGGCTCCTGCCAGTGCTGCCCCGAAGAGCAGCCGAGCCACCAGGACCATGAGAAAGTTCATGGCCAGTGCCACGGCGAGGCCCACGGGCACTGCCAGCGCCAGGGACAGCAGGAAGGTGGGACGGCGGCCAAACCTACCAGGGACAGGCTGTGAGTAGGGCTGGGCATGGCGTCCCCTGCCCAGGGGGCCACCCGGGAACCCCCGTTACCTGTCACAGGCCAGGCCGGCGGTGACACTGCCCAGTGTCCAGCCCAACAAGTGTGTGGTCTGCTCCAGGGGCACCTTCCAGCGTGAGGCACACACCAGGTCCCACTGTGGGGGGACACAATGGAGGGCTGTCAGCGTGGGGGGCTCAGCAGGCCCCCCCTATTGCTGCTGACAGGGCTGGGAAAGATGGGGGGAGTCTCCTGACCAACCCCCACCCAACAAGTAGAAATGTGGGGATGTGCCAGGATGGTGCTGAAGGTCCTTAGAGCCCTCTCCCCTGGACACCCTCCAACCCCTCAGCAACTTTCCTTCAGGGCTCCTCCACCTACCCCAAACCCCTTTCCATGGGGTCTCCCACCTTCTCCTCCCAGGACCCCTCTCTCTTCCCAGGATCCCTGCTTCCCCCTCCAAGCAAACTCCCTCTCCTCCACATCCCAGGACATCCCCGGTGTTCTCCCAGCATATCCAGGGCTTTCCCGTGGGATCCTTACGGGGGTTCCCAACTTGCTCCAGGGGTTGGGACCTCCAGCTTGTTC